GACAGAGGGAACTACATAGACCATGATCCTTTGCTCCATTTCAGTGTAGACTACATGAAGAAATAACAGTTCTAGTCTAGTCTTAGTTCTTTGAATTAAGTCTTGTCAAGGCATTTGAAAAAAGGAAAATGTAGCATATTAACAGTTTTAGCTGTTTAGTCTTCACAAAATATCTCAATAAATATCGTACCGCGAGATGTATATTGTGAAAATATCATACCGTGTGACTTGGATACACCCCTAACCACAACTATACAATGTCTTGGCCTAGGACACAACCTCAGTATGCAAAGACTTGGTGCTGGGATCAAACCACTGACTTTTAGGTTGGTGGGCGAATGCCTTTGACACTGAGCCTCTCCTGCCCTGAGCTGGCATAACACAACAAGCAAGTCTTAAACAACACTAGTTGAAGGTGCACTGTGTCACTTCTCCAGCTACTTGTTTTTATGCTTGGAATTTTCCACATTATGGCATTAAACATATCGATCTTGCATTTATTGAATTGTTCTTTCATTACGCAATCTTACTGTGACTGGGGCCCCCCCTCCACAGAACTGACATGTAATAAGCCCAATTACATCACCCGCTTGTCTCCACAGATGTCGATACATTTAATGCCGCACCGTGTGGAACATTCCAGGGCGACAGGAGGTTACGGACCCTTCACCCAAAAAGTTGCGCAGTGCACCTTTAACTACATTGCCTTTACCACCGATGTTGTCTGCAGATCGCATTCTTTTGCTTTCATTGTGGTTTATCTCTTCCCCTTTTCATCCCTCTGAGTTTCTAGTTTAGGAAATTAATGAGGCTCGGTACTATCAGTAACAGCCCCTCTCCCGCTCTCGTCTTCCTCACTTGTGAATGAATGGTTTCTAACAGTGACGACAGAATGCAGATGTTTCCTAAATGAATAATACTGATTGCTTAGCCCTCAGCGTACTTGTCCCGTGCATGGCGAATGAGCTGCGAATCCACAAAAAAGTTAATCAAATATACTATGATGAAACGCACAATGTATTTGAATTCGAGAAATACTAATTATGCATGATGGCTTGTAATTAGGCGAAGTTTGGTAATGGCGTAGAACCTTTTAGTGTAATTTTTGCAATATTTGCAGGAGGAGTGCAAACAGCTTGTCATTTTCGTGTTTGTTCAGAGCTGGCTTGGTATTTCACTGACTCTAATTAACTTTAGTCCACAAAAGTGAAAGGAGGCCGTGTGGTAGGGGTGTGTCTGTAGCAATCAAGTGACAGTGCAATTATAGTGTCGGGGACTGCCCAAACAGAACCAGTTCCTTATTCGGAATACCAAGAAGATGGGAATGCATTTACACGGTGTACGAAGTGAACACTGTAACTGGTATTATATGGAAATGCCCTTTTGAAATGCTATGGTTGAATGCTTCCTACAAATGTTATTACACTGAAGCTAAATGGACTCCCTTATGTGTTGAGGGAAAAGAGTATTAGGACTGGCCAAATATCAAACTAGAGATTGCGCTTTTTCGTTTTGTTATGGTACAGTGAAACTAAAGAGATAATACAGGAATCAGCAGTAGTCAGATTTAAGTTACCAAGCTCCACTTGAAATTTCACAATGGTGGACATTTAGCTAAATCGCATTTGTGAGTCTGTGCGAGCTGTGTAATTGTGCAAAGTTACGGCAAATATTGCAAGAGTTTCTGGCAAGCGGCAGAGCGAGCTTGCATACATCAAAAATATACGGTTTGCATCCGCGTTTTTACGGAATCAAACACCGAATTAGCCAGGATCACTTTTAAATGCGGGGTCTTTTAGCTGTGCAGGCAGAGACAAACACATCCAAAAACTGTTACGCCTGCTTGCTGGGTCCAAACTAAACTGTACAAAGAAAGTAGATGCACACAGCAGTACTGTGGAGCTCCCAATGATTTAAAGGGCCCATCTCATGCAAAATAACTCTTTTCACATTGTATCTTCTGCACATATACAAGCACAATTTGGGTTTTGGAACATCCATTACACAATAGTTATGAAATCTTACTGATTTCTTGGAGGCAGTCACAGACAAGGAACTATGAACTAGGAACTATGGCTATTGCTCATCCCCCTGCCCGTCCTGAGAAAGCACAGGCTCCGCCCTCCAAAACGTGACGTGAGCCACCCTTCCTCCGCCCATCTCAGGGAGGGAGAGGGAGACAGGTGTGCACTCTCATAGCGATAGGAATAAACTTTTATTCATCATGGCGATACAGCGCGTTCAGCCGCATGTGTTGGACCCGGAATTGAACGAGGACTTTGAGGTGCACGAAGCACAAGCACCATGTCAGCATCAGCTGAACATTACTGATTGGTAAAGTATTAATAAACACTAGTAGATAAACTTATTATATCGTGTACACTGCAGTGTAGAACAATTTCCTTATTCTGTCGCTTTTGTTTAGGTGTTCATATGGGAATTGTCAACCAATGCAGGGTGACAAAAAACGCAGAATCAATCTAAAAACCACTTGGGCAACATATACAAGGCCCACAAATCACTCTTAGAAGGTAGAAAGCTCTGAATAGTTGATTTTGCATGAGATGGGCCCTTTAATCTACAAAGATTTACATGTACACCCTGTTGCACCTGATTTAAAAAAAAAAAAAAAAAAAAATGAACCGAACTCATTTGAAACAGTCCTGAAGCATCCCTCACTGTCTTTGCAAACCTCTTTGACAGACGGTTATTATGTGCTCTGTCTGCTATAGCCTCCAGTATAAACTTAAATATATTCATATTAGTCGACTTTTTCACAGCACTATTCAGCTGTTTTATTTATGAGGATAAGACCCAGGATTTGCTGGAGGGACTATGTCTCTCAGCTGGCCTGGGAACACCTTGGGGTCCCACCGAAGGAACTGGAAGAAGTGTCTGGGGTGAGGGAAGTCTGGGAGTCCTTGCTTTGACTGGTGCTCCCACAAACTAAGAGGAAGAAAATGGATGGACTTAACTCATTTCTGCTCTGTTTTCTAATGTTCATTTAGTGTTTTAATACATACTTTTCACGCACTTTGAACAAGTATGTATTGGTAACAGTTCGCATTCCAGGAATAAATTTGATTGAATTTATAAAAGTACGTAGTATTTAGTACCCCAGTATTTGGAAATGGGCATTGAAAAACTGCCAAATAGGGTGAGGTTCCAAATTGGGTCATGACATCACTGTCCCAATACATTCTTAGCATCATAATTATTCATTGCAGGTTTCACCATGGTAACAACAAAAAGCATGCTAACAGCACTGTAGTGTTTGTATTTCTTGTTTTTTTTGTTTTTTTTTCCGGAAAATAAAAATGCTTCATAATTTGTACACAGCTGTCTCAGAGCTGCTTTTCCAATACAGCAGTATTGGGGGCAGAGGAATAACAGAAAAGTAGCGTTGTTATAGTTCATGTTAGTATGACGCAGCTAACTGTGTTGTTGTGTCCTGTCAGGGTCTTCGTACTTCTTCAAGGGGAAGGAGTACTGGCGCGTGCCCAGCAGTGACATGGAGGCGGAGGCAGGCTTTCCTCGGCTCATCGCTAAAGACTGGCTGCTGTGCACTGAGATGCAGGCCGACTCTCCACAGCCAGAGGCCAAAAGCCCCGAGAGCAGAGGGAACGTGCACGGAGCCCCGGACCACGCCCACAACGGCTACGAGGTGTGCTCCTGTACCTCGGACAGTGGCTCTCCTCTGGGGCTGCGCTCACAGCCCTCCCCCCTCTGGCTGCTGGCCCCTCTGTGGACGCTGTGGCAGGCTCTCTCCTCTCACCTGCTATGATGCCAAAGCACTGGACTCTACTTTAGGACTCAGACAGACCAGTGGACGCTCAGCTCAAGCAAAAATTGGGAGAATTTCACTTTTTTATACCACCAAAAAAGCTGGGATATTGAGATTGAAATGCAAATCAAAACAGGATCTGATCTTTTGTAGTTTTCAGAGAAGGCTATTGCCTCTCCCTTTCTTTTTTTTCCCAAACAAACAAAACCACACACACACAAAATAACAATATAACAGTTACTCTTGAATTTGAAGGCAACAGCACATCCCAGACATACAGGTAAACACATGTACAATACAAATATTTGGTCAATTAAAGTCACAGTGTGTAACTTTTTTTTTTGCCAAAAATAGAAACAAATCTTGTTTTTTTATTCAGGAAAGTTGTTTGTTTGGTTGTTTATAGCACTGAAAAACATGGATCCTTTCGTTTTGTTATGTTACAGTGAAACTAATGAGATAATACAGGAATCAGCAGTAGTCAGATTTAAGTTACCGAGTTCTGCTTTAAATTTCACAATGGTGGACGTTTAGCTAAATTGTATCTGTGAGTCTGTGTGAGTTGTGTAATTGTGCAAAGTTACGGCAAATATTGCAAGAAATATTTGGCAAGCGGCAGAGTGAGCTTGAGTCTCAGACCTGACTCTTTTTGGCATGGAAGAGGCCTTCTGCTTCTCTCCACGGAAATGTAGTTCCTTTGGTTATAATATTCCACAATAAGACATATTGTTCATCATAATTGACAATTTGCAGTGTTCTACATGCATCTCTATGGTGTAATGTTCAGCATTTACCAAAACGTTGTACATCTGAAAAGTAAAGAAAATGAATACAAAATGGATTTAAACAGCACATGTTCAGGAGCCTGTGATCAATACAAACGTTCATAGTTGTGTTTAGGTAGTTGGCTGTAATTGTAACTGTAATTTTATGATTGAGAGACTCGTTTAACAGCACAAATCATCTTACCTGTTGTAGTTCCAACTAAACCAACTCTTTCTAGTCAGATTGTGTTAAAATAAAGCTCAGATTAAAGTTTAACAAGCCTCAGATAGAGCAGTGCCTACAGTTAGCATCACACCTCTGGAGAATGTTGATCATGTCTGCTGCAAAGTATCAATTCTCCTCTAGAAAGTCCCAAAGTATGGTTTTAAATTTCTGTTTTCATGGAATCAAGCATGTGGCGTGCTCCAGAAAGTTACATCCTGTACCTTTAAATGACCAACTGCCTTTTCCCATTCCAGTTTAGATTTTTGTTGCCATGTTCCAAATACTAATAATCAGCCATAAAGAGGGAAAATAGCTGTTGTTCTTCTATAATTGTCACACAAAAACACTACCTTCTGTTTGATTTACATGTTCACAGTGTCCCAGTTTCTTTGGTGCTTAAATGTTTATAGTATATAATTTTGATGATGTATTTATTTTAGCAGGTCAAAGACTCTACTGACACGGTTTTGACCTAGAGACACATGAAGAACACGTCTTTCATGTTCTGTGCAGCTCCTTCTCTGGGCCAATGCCTCATGCGCACCACATTCAAAAGGAATGGCAACTCTTTATAATGAAGGTCAGATGGTTCTCTCACAGATTTTGGCTCCACGTCAACCCACTACGTTAAGCAGAAGTGTGTCCGGGCCGCGCGGAATGCTAAATGATCCTATAGCTCCATCGGGATGCTGTTCCATTAAAAAGTCATAGCGGTAAAAAATAGGCAATGTTAAAGCAGTTTGTCCCTTCAGAGGTATTGTCTAGAATATCAATTATTTTTACAACATGCAAAAAATGATTGAATTGGGAATATTATGAACACATAAATAACTGTTAAAAAGAAAACTAGACTTATTTTTAAGATAGTTAATGCTGTCACTATACTAATATTTTGAACTTGATTTTGATACTCTTTATTTAGACAATAGAATGGGATTTTCAACGTTAAATCATAGTACCGTATTTTCCGGATTATAAGTCGCACCAGCCAAAACATGCGTAATGAAGAAGAAAAAACATATACAACTCACACCAGAGTGTAAGTCGCACTTTTTGGGGGAGATGTATTTGATAAAATCAGAGACCAGGAACCAACGTTTCATCTTGAATGGAAAGTTATGGTAACAACAATAGAATAAAGAACAACAGGCTGAACAGGCGTCTGGTATGTTAACGTCACATATTAACAGTTATTCAGATAGCTATAGCATAAACGACATAACATAACAAGTTTACCAAACTTTCCATCTCGCTCCAAATCACTAAATCCATTGAGTTCTTCGTCCTCAGTGTCACTTCTGAGCAACTCCGCGACCTCCGGAGGTAAACAGAGCACCGCTTCCTCTTCTGCGTAGCTGTCGTCAGACTCAACATCAGTTCCAGTTAGAATTATTCTGGCCTTTCTGACTCCCAACAGGATGGTTTCGGTTGTCACTGAAGTCCAGGCTTTGTCGATCCATTTAATGACTTCCAGAAAAGTTGCATGGTGCATTCTCCCGGTTGCCGTGAAGCTGTGTTCTCCATCCCCGCTTTCGGCCAGTCCTCACAAGTTTCTCGCTCACTCCAAACTTTCTTTCTGCTGCTCGATTACTGTTTTCTGCTGAATATTTCACTATTTGCAACAGGACAGCGGCTTTTTCTGCAGGAGACATGCACAGTAGCGCAAAGTGACAGTAATATAGGAGTAATAGGAGTAGCAGATACTGGCACACAAGCCTAGAGTGCCCTCTGGTGGCTGTCAGTCTGAACATTTTAATATATAAGTCACACCGGAGTATAAGTCATAGGACCACCCAAACCATGAAAAAAGTGCCAGTTATAGTTTGAAAAATACAGTACTTTCTTTAACCATGTGGTCTTATTGTATCTGTGTAAATCCCTCAGTGGTCCAGTGGGCGTATACTAGTCTGTGTGCTCTTATACTTGTTCTGATACATTCTTAAGATCATTCTAAAGCTGTTCAGGAAAGGTTCATTTGTGTCCTGAATGTGACTTTTCTAGTATTGATACCTGCTCTAGTTTCAATACTAGTTTTGGCATCTGATTTTGGATACTTCTGATAACCGTAAAGCCAGTGCATTAGTAGACCCGATTATATATTTCACATTTACATTTTATTTATATTGAATTATGTGTTAAGTCTTATTCAAATGAAACACTTTTGGCTGACTCACTGAACTGAAAGGCTAAATACTAATTATTTTGTCATAGTTATATTTGAAAACCTATACCACAATTTTATGCTCATACTCACAAGTACTTTATTATGTTCCATAGATTTTAAACTTTTTTTTTTTCTTGTTGCTTCATGAAAACTATTACTTGAGTTCTGTTTTGTTTGATTCACACGTATGGGTAATTCAGTATACTTTCATTATCTTAATCCGTGCTCATTTGATTGCTAAACTTGCCTTCACTAAGCAGCTAATTTACTTCAAACGTAGCTATTGTTTTTTACCTCATTTAAACTGCTTCACCTCTCAGTGCGTCAGCAGGTGGAGTTCTTGTGTTCTCTTGTGTTACCATTTTGTACGAACAAAAATTCAGGGCTCAGATCATGTGAACTTGTATTTTCAATGCTGTTGAACTGGGAACACGTCTGTTTAGCGTCTATATATTAATACGTTCAGACTGCAGGGCCTAATGCTCAATTCAGATTTTTTGTGTGAAATGTGACTTTTTTGCGAGGTCGTTCACGTTTCCAATTACATGCGACTTGTATGTGATCTCCAGTGTGAACTTTAACTCTTTCCCCCTTGGACTCCTACTAGGAACAACCCATACATATATTACTAGGGCTACCCATAGAGCATAACTGCATAAAAGAAAACGGACTTCCACGAGTAATAATAAATGATTTTCACACTCACGAGCTTGAAACACAGACATATTTGGTATTTCTGAAAACCTTAGACCCTGAACTCTTCATTTATGGATGTTTAAATGGGTGGTTTATAACAGCTCACTTAAAATGAAAGTTTACCTGGTCAGGTGCAAAATCAAAAACAAAAAACTACATTCAGCATCCGATATATGCATGTTCTGAGCCGCAGCGCTGCAATTTTTCGTGTTGTGTTTTTTCCGGAAGCTACAGCCGTCACTACTGCGATTAACTTCAGAAAAAAAATCGGCGAAAACGTATCCTTGAATCCTATTGGTCAGCCTAGTATGGTTTGTAGTGGCCCCCACCTCTCGCAGCCTCTGTTTACATGTGAAAAATGGTCGTCAAATTACGTCTTTAGTGATACAGCGGAGGTGTCAGAACACGTCATTAAGGATACAAAAGGGGGTCGTCAAGTGTCGTCTTCATGGGGGAAAGAGTTAAACGCCCCAAAAGTGTCTCGCATGTGCACTGGAGGACGTGACGTTATCACACACATCGAGCAGTGTTTATGGAAGTAGCCTTCACAAAATTCAGTCCAGTTCTTGTAAAATGAACAGATTACACGTCCACGGTCGCTTTGTTTGTTTGAGTCTTTAGCCTCCTTGTATTTGGCTCGCAGGCTCTTTATTTTTTGTTGACATTGCAGCCAGGACCGCCTGTATCTGCGCTCGGACATTTCAAAAAACGCCCAGTTTGAATAAAACCCCTCCAGTTTGGCCTGAATACAGCGATCCCCCCAAATATTAATGAACTCACTAACCTCGCGTTCCCTCCATTGACTAGACTCTGAGCCTGATGTGTAGGTGGGATGAATGTGACATGGCCGTTCAGACTGAAGTCACATGTCAAAAGATCGGATGTATATCAGTTTTAGGAGCACATATCCAAGTGGAATGAGTCGCATTTGAAAAAATCTGATCTGTGTTGTTCAAATTGTCATTAAAAGATCAGATACAGGTCACATCAGAGCGAAAAAATCTAATTTGGGTCACGTGAGGCTACAGTCTGAACGTAGCCTGAGTGGCATGCTCCTTAAAGGTCTTATATTAAGCTATTTTCTGATCTATGTCATAATGTTGTTTCCTCATCACAAACAGACCTGGAGTTGTGTTTTGTTTAACTCCCA